AAGTACAAAACAATACAATTATGGATGAACAAATGGTAGTGGGTGGGCATCTCGGGTTGTGGCTGGTCACCTTACCCCCACCGAGCCCCTCATGAATTGCGCCCATATGACCAAGCGTCGCAAACAGCTTCTGCTGTTTCACTGCTTTCTCTTGGCGGTGTTTTTACACCCAAGTGCAAGGAAGAAAAGCCAAAACCCGGTCGGTGAACTAATCACAGTTCATCCAAGTGAGGTGATTAAGAACTCTGATTCTGAACCATCCGAGAAGAGGCTTACGAACAAGACGCATTTACACCTTCCAGGTTGTGGTAGTCGTCACCCGCTTGATTAGGTATCGAGGTGTATTGAGTACTTTGAACATTCGACCCCGTCCGGAGGGCATATTATTCGATGAACTGGACATCGGCCTCCAATGAACTGCAGTTTTCGCACACCTTCCCGCTGCCTTGTGGATCAGGCCTTGACTAGCCGAAGGCTCCGGATGTGAATTCCTAAAGAAAATTCACTGTACTGGCCCGGGTACCCTCGAACAAATCATGGAATTTTATTTTTTATAAAGATTGTTGTACCGTAATTTGCTTGTCATACAGTCTGGACTCAGACGTATGTGAATATATATATATATATATATATATATATATACCGATGTCGGTTCGCTGCCGTTTCCGTCAGTGTCTCCAACCAAACAGACAATAAAACAGACTACTGTGACCACTGACTTGTTTCATCGACGGTCAGACAAAATACACCCTCAACCTACGTGACTAAGTAGTGCAGTTAACTTCGTAAAATAGAATACTGATACCGAGAAGCGGACAATTAAGAAAAAAATGCGTGGACAGGTATCGGTTCACACCAATGATTCCTTTCGTTAAGGTGACTTACCACAAAACTGGGATCCGTGGCGTTCAAACGGGTCTCGTCACAACGCCTCTCCCAGGCAGATTCCACCCATGACGTCTTCACTGTGGCGATTCGTCGAGCTGTAATGGCGGCCTCGCGAACCTTTTCCCCAGCGCAACGATAGGCAACTAGATGCGTAGTCGTGTTCACATTCATGCAACGTCGCACACTGCCACCCATCCAATTGATCATAGTGGCCAAGCGATTCTTGACAGCAAGAATGAAGAAACGATCGAAAACGATTGAGTATTAAACTATATACACTGTATACAAATCAAACAAGTAAGGATTACAGTGAAACGCAATGTGGCACCGTATGAATAAACAAGTGTTAATATGCCCCCCCCCCCCCCCCCCCCCCCTAGCACTCAACTCACCACAGTTTGACGATCTCGAAATCCGGTGATGCACACGACAGCACCCTGCATGGAGAAATTGAACACCGGTCGCGGTTTGGTCCATTTGCGCTGAACGAGCATACAATCCACAAACGCCGGATAGCCCATGATACGGACATCCGGACGTAGGGTGACAAGTTCGTGAATATCGGAGAAATTCGTGAAATCGGAAAACAAAAACCACTTGCATCCGGAAATCGGATCACTCAGACCGGCCTTTGTGTGATCTTTTGCTTCTCGAACACGTGAAATACAAGTAGAAGCATCGGGAAGATAGGTAACTTCGAACTTTTCCACTATTTTCTTTAAAGATGGGTATGAATCATATATAAACTAACTAACCCCAATCAGCTTAGAGAACGATTCGTTAGAAAAGGCAGTTGTGCCAACTATAACCAAAGGATTGCGCTCCGGTGGCATCTGAAACAAAAGAGAGCAAATTCACTACCCAATACAAGAAACCGGATAGGCAGACTACAAATGATGGAATTGTACGATGAAACTATTTTAGACGCATCATCGCACAGAATAAGGTAAAAAGATAATTTCGAATTAGTTGCGAACACGTCTTCACGACCATGGGGTACAGCTCGTCTACTGTTCATCAAACAAAAGGCTGCGGCTATCGGTAATATTCGCAATCCTTTCCGATTAATTAAGAGCACAGGTCCCAGGAAAGCAAGTGTAAGTGAGGCAATCAAGGATTCCGACGGCAAACTGATCCACATTCAGCAATGCCGTCTAGATCGATGGGCAGAACATTTTAAAGCGCAGTTCAGCTAGCCTTCGTAAACATAAGACCTCCCTACACCCAATTCAAC